CAGGTGTAAAAAGATTGAACAGGGGTAGCTGTTATACCCCAAAATTTTCCCTCTCACTTTTTCAAGAATCTCCTCACAAGATTTCTACTAGGCCAAAACTGCACAAGGTTTGATCAGCTCAAGTCGCCATGAATCATATTGGATTTTCAAGCATAAGGTCAAGGAGGAAGCTATTGAAATAACAAAGCAGATAAATTTGACTGCTTTCGACAAAATCAAAGAAAATAAGTTTGCTTCGACTGGTGCTTAACTTCAACAGAAGTTGCTCCTCCATTTTAGCTTCGACTGAGTTTGGTTTCCCTTTGGAACATTCTCCTTCGACTCAAAGAGGAAGAGTCTCTGGTAGCCTCCTTCGACTCAAAGAGGAAGGGCCTCTTGTATCCTTTTTCGACTCCAAGAGGAAGAGTCTCTTATAGCCTTTTTTGACTCAAAGAGAGAAAAGCCTCTTGTTGATGTCCTTCGACTCAGAACTTGGTGGATTCCTACTGGCCTCCTGCAGCTTCCCTTCGACACATGCATAGCCTTTATACCATGACATGTCTGGATGTTCCAATCGAAGGTTATACCTTGGTGGCCCATCTGAAGAATTGCAAGATGCATATGTGGTCCATTCGAAGGACATTTTGAAAGAAACATTGTTATCTGAGAATAAGTCTAGTCGAAAGCTAGAGCCAGTTGGTCAAAACAAAGGAGAAGTAGTCCAGATGCTAGTAGTATCAGGTACAAATCTGTTGCACTGGCCACAATGTGCCAAAACTGCTATAAACCAGTCCTGCCACGCTGCCCCCATATTTGAACCAAATTGGTATATAAAAAATTGTACCTCGAAAGCTACAAGAACAACATACCCAATTTGTTCAAATTTCTTTTGTTTTCCCTCCCAAACCTCAGCCAAACTCATCTATAAATAAGAGCCTCCATCACACGTTTTAGGGGCCCCGGATAGTTGGAAAAAAACTCTGTTTGTGAAGAAATTACCAAATTCTCAAAACTCCCAAACACTATTAAAAATTCTCAAACATTCCCAAACACTCAATCTTTAAACAACTCAGATCCCTTCATACATAAGTAAACCTTTCGACTCAATCCCCAACTGCCAGATAGTTAACCACAACTGACTGCCCAAACAAAACATCAACGAAACTAGCTTCGGGAAGGTTCCAGCGAAGCTCCATCCATCATCAAAGAAGCCACTTACAAGTCCTACGACTAAGCACTTCAAGAGGTAAGTTTTCCTCTAAACTAAAAACTTTGCTCACTTAAATATCATTTGTGAATATAAATAAAAGGAAAATGTAGATATCCTATCTAGGAAGTTGATCATGCTTTCGACCCTCACTGCTTGTATACTGAGGATCTCAATGCTGACTAGTTAGACTTTGGATCCTGGTTCCCAATAATCTTGTGCTAACCCCTGATTTGTAGTTGTCGAAAGTTACACTTGTTGGTTTCATTTTCAAGTTTAGACAGTTTTCCTGTATCTTTTGACTGGCTAAACATTGAAGGCTTCTCGAAATCTAAACTTGGGAGCTTTGCATTCCTGCAATCAAAGGAGACATCAAAGAGTTTGAAATGAAAGGTGTGCATTCCATGCTGACTCCTAAAGCCTGTCAAAAGAAATAGCAAGAAGGGTGAGTCGAAGGTTACCGGCTAACACTCCTGCAGTCGAAGGAAACAAAAAAAGGCAGATTCGAAAGGGGCCATGAAGATTTGAGTCGAAGGGTGCTACTGCCTGGGTCGAAGAGCTCATTTTCCTTTCTTTTATTTTTTTTTTTTGCCTTTACATTTTCTTGCCTTTTAAAATGGTTGTAATAGTGTAGGATATTTATTTCCTACATTTTTATTGCTTTATACAAATGTTAGTAACTAGGATGTATGGTAAGATAAAACCAACAAATAGGCCACCCTAATCAAAGACTAAATGCATGCAAATCAAACACATTATTCACACATGCACCTCTAGGGTAATTTCACTTGTCGTCTCGAAAATAGTCATGTCCCTCGAATATGGAGCGCTTTAGCAATGGCCATTCAATAAAAGATTGTAGTCCCTCGATGACCCTCGACGTTGCCTTTAATAAAACGATCTCGTCCCTTACGAAAATTGCTAAAGCGTCTCATAAGTTGCTTTCGATGACTGTAAAATTGACCCGCGCCTGTCACTTCACATCCGACGATGGGGCTTCTTACGAAATCAATGGTAAGATAGCAACATCTAAAGGGAAGAAAAGAACATTTGAGACCTTTCGAGTAGGTAGATTCTCTCCCAGTTACTCCCTTGCTCACGACAAAAACATTTTTACACCAACACTTTCATCTCAAAACATTTTCAAAAGACAAGGCATTTTGTATACGTTCTTATAGAGACGAGAACCATTGCAAAACATCTTTTCAAAACCACTTTCAAAAAACACATTTCCACAAACACATCTTTGAACTATTTTTCTAAACAACACTTTGTATGCGTTCTTATAGAAACGAGAACCATTACAAAGAAATTTTCAAAATACTTTCAAAAAACACACCACAAGCATACTGTCAAACAAAAGCAAGTGATCTAGCGAGTAACTAAGAGTCTGTAGATAACTACAGATGAAAAGGGTGCTAATACCTTCCCTTTTCATAATCTACCCCCCGAGCCCGAGAAATAATCTCGAAAGGTCTTTCCTGTGCTTTTTTACCTTTCCTTTTGGATAAAAGAAAAGTCGGTGGTGACTCTTGCTAAACCGTAACATTTGCGAACACAAACACAAAACCTCAAGTCAGTTCTCCCACCGTATCACAACATTGTTCTCCCACCTAATCTATCATGAATGCATAAAAGCATCATCAAATGCACGATGAGGCCGATGAGATGTATATGGTGTCCAGACGATATCTTCTATGGTCAGTGCATTGAGCCTCATCATGTACTCCATCAAAATGCCTAGAAGGGGTTGCTTGCTCTTCCATCTCCTCGCACATGGAGTAGTAGCCGAGACACATTGGATTTTCTAGTTACAGATGTAAAGGAAGTGCTCGTATGTCTAGAACTGCATAAATAAAAACAATTTAATACACTCAAATAACTAATAAAAACCAATAAATAAATGTTAGTATACTTGTAGAAGGCTAAGGTAACCAACCAACTTTCTGGTCTTAGGCTGAGTAGAAACTCAAGTGTTGTGTACAACATGGTCAAGACCGTCATTCCCTAAGCCCAACATGAAGTGTCAAAGGTGTTGAACAGAGACAAGTAGCGAACATCAATGTAAACTCCAGACTTATTCGCAGAGTATATGCCACCAGATGTAGCATGTACGCTCTTGCGGCAGCTTGGTACCTATGGGCCTCCGCGTGCTCCTTGTACTTATCCCTTAGTCAAGACATCCACAGGTGAAATCCCCGATTAATGCCAAACTCCTTTACATTTGTCACCTTAGATACCTCTAAATCATTCATAACCATTTGCACCTCCGTCGCATGGTTAACATAAGGAGGTGTAAAGAATGTACTAGCGATCAAAACGTGAAATAGGGCATCGACATCATCTAATGTGACCGTCATCTCCCCAAATGGAAGATGAAATGATGATGTCTCTAGGTGCCACCTCTCAACAAAAGTAGACAACAGTGAGGCATCTAGCATGGTCAAGGAGCACTCAGTGAACTTCAATAGATGAAACTATCTAATGATATTTCTAACCTCCTCAGGAATCTCACCCTCTAAGAAGTTCTTCAACGTCAAACTATGGGAAGCGACCTTCAACACCTATCATTCATGTAAGAGACAAAGAATAAAAAAACGTATACATTAAAAATTATACATCAACAAAGAATCATAAAAAGTTGTAATAAAAAAACAAATTATATACCTCGCTATGCATATCCTGTAAGCGATATGGTTAGCAAATCCTGTCAGCACGGACATGTCTGAAGGTCCACTTGGAAAGGCTCCATTAGTGTGAACTGATGGCTCCATAGACACACGAGTCGTGGCATCTGTATCAGTGGGGAATACCTCATCAACGTGCTCAGCAACAACCTCCTGAACCTTCTTCGTAACCTGCTCAGCTTTCGGCTCCACAACCTGCTCGACAACCGGCTCCATAACCTGCTCTACAATTGAATCACAACATGCACAACCTTCTCAACAATCTACTAAATAGTAGGCTCCACAACAACCTGCTCAATCTCGGGCACATCTACAGGAGCATGAGCGGGAGCATAATCATGTACCTCCTCAATAGTAGATCCTTCAATACCCTGGTGAAGGGGTGCGCGAAACTATGCCTACTGCTCAACCATCTGTTTCCGGTGTGAATCGATCAGAGGACGTCTTCTAGCTCGTAGCTTAGAAGCATGTGCCTCGTTAGTCTGGGCCTAAGCTTCCGCTCTATCAGCCACCCTGCCCGCAACAGAACCATCTTTGCCCTTGGTCCTCACTGAAATAATAATAATAAAAGGAGGGAAAAAATTAGAAAAATATGAACTACCAGAAATTTTGAAATTTTCAATATTTTTCAAAAAAAAAAATGAACTATCAGAAAATTTGAAATTTCTGGTACATGCCGTAATGCTCCCGAAATTTCAAAATTTCCTAGACAAAAGGTAACACAAAACCGAGAAATTTCAAAATTTCCTATTAGCATATATCGAAAAATTTGAAAATTTCGGTACAAAATACTGGAAATTACACAAATATACCGTAAATTTCTTACTATTTCATGAAATTTACGGTATCTCTTCGAAATCTCTGATATCGTCCAATAAATTAAAAAAATGCGGTGTGATACTAAAAAATTAGAATTTTTGAAAAATATTTTTGTTGGACTACTTTAGTCTTTTTCATATTGTTTGGGGGTGTCAGATTGAGTCCTTGGTTAAATGATAGGCCTGGTATTTTATTGGGCTTAAGCCCATTCTAGTCTAATTAGAATAACCCAGTAAACAGGCCAACATCTTCCGAGTTCATTCTGAAACTCGACTCAGTCAATCAGACACTGCGAAGCCTCGCCAAATATGAGAGACGTTAACGGTGACGGTGCTCCGCCGAAAACCGCCACAAGCTCAGAGAAAAACGAAGCCGAAGCTCCGTCAAAAAGAGATTCAAGGAAAACACGAGAAGATTCCGACGTAGACACAGACTCCAACAGAAAGCACAGAGGTTCGCGGAGGAAATCGCGCGACAGTTCGGATTCCGACGGCGATAAACGAAGCAGGAAGAAGAGGAATTCACGTAAGCGATACAGTAGTGATTCTGAATCTGATTCGGATTCTGAAGGACGCAGGAAGAAGAGGAAATCGCGTAAGCGATACAGTGATTCTGAATCTAGTTCAGATTCCGGTTCAGGTTCGGATTCTGAGAGTGACGAGTCCGAAGTGTCGGGTTCGGATTCGGAGTATTCGGATTCGAAATCGGAGACGGGGAGTGAGGGAGAGAGGAGGGAGAGGAAGAGGAAGGAGAGGAGAAGGAGGAGAGAGAGGGAGGAAGAGAAGAGGAGGAGGAGAGAGAAGGAGAAGAAGAGGAGGAAGAAGGAGAGAGAAGAAGAGAGAAGGAAGAAAGAGAAACGGAAACTGAAACAGAAGAAGGAGAAAAAGGAGAGAGGGAAGAAAGGGGCTGTGACTAATTTATGGGGAAAGTATGGGATTATTAGAGAAACTGATATGTGGTAGGAGATTTTTGCTTTTGCTTTGTGAAATTTCTTCAATTTGTATCTGTTTGTTGATTGAATTATTAGAGATTAATGTGTTTTGTGTTTGTGGTTGATTATTGAATTATGTTGTTATGGAAGTTGATTTTTCTTCATTGTTTGAGGCAATTTAACAATGTGGCAGAATATACTGTAGTTTTTGAAATACTTGGCCAATGATTTGTTGCTTTGATTTTGCATGTGAGTTTTATGTAAAGAAATTACATGGGATTGGAATGTGATAGTGGTTAGGTGAATTGTTATTATTGTAATAGGGTTGTAAGCCTTGATTGAAAGATTTTAGATTGATTGTTGTGCTTTTATCGATTTGTATGTGAATCGTGTAAGATTGGAGAAGTGTTATAACTGATAAGTAATAGCAGTATTCAGAGTTGTTTTCTTGACACTAAAACTGGATAAGGATTGAACTTGAAGGACGACAACACTTTGACAAATTCCAGTTCTAGCTTGCTGTAAAATATCTCTCTTTTTGAGAAACTATACCATTTTAGCAACACTTTGTGACTTTACTCAACTTAATATAATTTTTTGTCTGATCTCTTTTAAAACCTTGGAATTTGTTGGCTAATGCCCATCCTGCTTCAGCTTATGGAATCCTGGAGGATGATGTAGTTTTTGGTAGAAGCAAGATTACTTATTTAATATAGGGGAATTAGCAGCTGAAATTCATGTCTGGTGGATTGTAGTTGAAAGAGTCAAAACATAGATGGTTCATTATATCATTATAGACACTTTAGCAAGATTTTAAATCTAGGTGTATAGTTGTGTACTTTTCTGTTTTGAAGCTTGAGCCCCAAAGTAATAAAATAATCTCTTCATATTGATATCATCATGTCATTAGTTATTGAAGGGACCACTTACTGCTATAGTTAGGTCTAGGGAACAAAAAGGTCCACTGCAGATATGTTGTAGGTTACCTTAATTTGCAGGAGGATGATTCCACAACTTGATACATTGTCTACTAACATGGCAGCAACTGCAAGTCTCTAGCTGTTGCATCAACAAATGTAGTCAAGAAGATTGAATGCTGGATCGTAAGATCGATCTTACGTTCCCAGGATGTCCGAGAGTGCTACGATCAGAGAAAGATTGTTTTTGTCACCATCGCCGATGTGGTCAAGATCGAGCTTTTTGAAGCAAGATCGTAAGAAAACGTGTTGGGCCTTTTTTTTGGGCCCGGATTGAAATTTTCATGTTTTTGTGTATGTGTATATATAAATATATATATGAAATTACCATATTCCTTTCGGTAGGATCTTACGTGTTGTACTAACGGGCTATGTTTTACGATCTTTCACAAGCTAGCCGATCCTACTTAAGATCTTGTGCTTGACTTCATTGACATCAACACTTCTGTTTAACATGTTGACATGATATTATGGTCATTTTTTTTAATTTGCTTATGGAAGCTTCAATTTATTTTATTAAGCTTTCAATTCTCAAATCATGGTATTAGTAATAAATAAAGCTTATCCGTTGTTATTAGAAGATCTTAAGTACCTACATTCTAAAGGTTGTGCTGAAGTAAATATCTTGCTAGTTTAAATTTAGCATTAATATCTTGTCAACTATGGGCCTTGATATACCTTGTCTGAGTGATGTTTTGAATATTGCAGGAACAAACGTCCAGAATTCACTGCCTGGTTGGCAGAAGTAAAGCTGGTAATTATTTTGATTTGCTCTCTATATTTTATATTAAAATCTAACACTAAATCATTATATGTCCCCTTCCTTTTACTTTGTAGTCCTCTGTTCAATTTGCAAAAAGTTCAACTAGTTGCTGACATTGAGAAATCAAACTTTTAAAACTCATTAGATTGCATATTTTTCTTGCCTGTTGGACTACATTTCTTGTCATTTCCAAAGAAGTGCAGAATATCTTTCTTCCTTCATATTTTGGTGTTCAAGTTTACATGGACCATATACATTTGTAATTTTTGTGTTTTAACAGGTGAATATGGAGCATCTGTCTAATTGGGAAGAAAAACAGATGTTCAAAGAGTAAGCTCCTAAACTTGTTTCGTAGAAAAACAGAGCAAAAAGAGAGAAGAATGAAAGGAAAATAGAAAGAAAAAAGAGTGACACGTAGCTTTAGCTGAATGTTAGCTGTTATGTTTACTCTTAAGGCTCCCACGTGAGAAAAGGAAGCTCATTTTAGTTTCTTTCATTCACATCTTAATTGACTCGCACATTAATCATTTATTAATTTACACTATTTCACACATTACATTTATTACTATGCTGATTCTAAATTAACTTGTCTGTACTTCCTGGTTCTAGATTTATGGAAGATCACAACACAGCTACATTCCCTTCCAAAAAGTAAGCTCTAGCAAAAGTTTAATTTGGTTTTTCTTGTCCTCATATATGTGAATTTTCCAAGTAAATCCTTGTTCTGCAATGATGAAGTGAATTTAAGATCTTGAATAAATCATTTCTATATTCATTTATGTTGATAAATGGTTTAATGTTAATATGGCAGGTATTACAGTCTTGATGCTTACTACAGACGTCAAATGGAAAAAGAGATGAAAAAGGGTATTAAAAAGGTTAAAGCAAAAGAACGAACTGTTTTCAATGATGAAGAACAGCGCAGGTATGATTTTGATTATGCTGCTTTACTAATGTAATCTTAAATTGGTTTTCTATTATTTCAGTTTATGATATGCTAAATTTTTTAATGTCTTCTTTCTTTTCACACACTGTCAATTGTTTTTCAATGCAAAAGTCTACCTTAATAAATTCTTGAAGCTTTCATTACTGTTGTGTTGGTCTATGCTAGCTAAAAACCTTAGTGCTCTTCAAATAGAACTATGGAACACTTGTTGACACAAATGTTTCACCATTTCATAATCATTTTTCAATGAATCTGCAGACAAGAGTTGTTGCAAGCACGTGAAAAACACAAGGAAGAGCAAGTAATAGCTTTGAAACGCGAAATGGAAAGTGGAATGGTTAGTTTATACCAGACTACTTTATGCAATCTGAGTTTGAATAATGTTGTAAATGAAAAGGTTCTCTTCTCACATTTTTGTGCAATAATTTTGCAGGCACAAGCAATGAAAGAGCAAGCTCAACTTAGGGAGGAAATGGCTTACCAGTACAAGCTTGGCAACTTTGAGGTAAGAATTACAAATTCAACTCTATTTGTACATTGGCTTTTAGCTTGAGTCTCTACTAAATTTGCTGCAATTTTTATCACTATAGGCTGCTGCCGCAATCCAGAGAAGGTTGGACCCTGATGCTGCGGTGTAGTTGGCGTAGGACATAATTTTGTGGACTTGAATCAGCTCATGGGGTCTTATGATCATGTTATCACGACAATCTCATTTCATGGATATTGCACAGTGGATGAGTTTTATCTATTGAAGTAGAAGAGTAAAATATTCAACATTGTGGCATTTTCACTTGGTGCTATCATTGCTAATATAGAGATCTTGCCTTGCTGTGGAAGATTCGAGTTTGTATGTGAAGAAGCATCTCCAAACTGTCCAAGCTATACATGCAATGAAAAGGTGGCTATTATCCATCTTAATCGGCCAGATTGAAATATTTTCTGATCCTTTAAGCAAAAATTTCAATTGTAATGATGTTCTTGCATGTATCTTTTTTATTTGAATATAGCAACGGCGCGGAACGAGAAAGTCTTGTGTGGTTCCAGTCATATCACATCTCTTTTGGGCACATGATAGAATAGGTTGCTCCACATCATTATCATTAAAATTAAAAACTGAAACTGAAAAATAGTGTTCCTTCTCTTTTCTATCTACTTTTTTTTCCTTAATTTGTTAAAGACCCACTCATGTACATGGGATTGGGTATTGTTCAATCTTTATAATTTTTGTTTTTGATAAGCATATTTAGTTTGATACTTCATAGAAACGACCGTTTACAATTTGACATTAATATAGTTGTAATCCTAATAATATAAAACTTGTAATCATTAATATAAAACTAAGAGTGTTAGGAACACTGTGATTTTAACTAAGTAATTGTAAGTTCAATAAATGTATCATTAATTAGATTCAATTAAGCATATACATTGTAGCTTAATATAAGTGGACACCAATTTAGTCCATTTAAAACAATTTGCAAGTTAGGAATACATTAGTGGCATGAAAAGGAAAACAATTATCCTTTGCAGATAGTCACTTTGGTCAAAGCAGGCATTGAGGTTTTTTCAACTTGTCTAATGATAAACTGTGCAATATCAAACAATTTGTCCGAAGGAAGTTCGACAAATGCGTAGAACTTTTGTTTGGGTTGATACTGAGGAGATGAAGCAAATGCACGCAATGAATTGGGAGAAATATCCAAGCCAAAAAGCATAAGAAATATCGACAAAGTATAATGTCAAAGTGGTTGACTTGGTGGATACTAATGGTGATTGGAATTATGATTTATTGAGAAATTGACCGCCCTAGAACATCTTGGATCGGTTGAAGGCTATTCATCCACCTAGTGCTGCTCATGAAAAAGACGTTTGTATGCGGACAAGTACTACTAGTAGTGGCAACTTTAACGTCTCTTGTGTATTTGATGTGATAAGAAAATTTAACGTCTCTTGTGTATTTAATGTGATAAGAAAATTCAATGCCAACATGTGTTATAATATTTGGAGTATGATATCTGGAAGAATTAAAGTGTTTATTTGGATGTTACAACATGGCAGTCTTACAACCAATCACATGCTTCATCAAATGCCAGTAAAAGACCAGCTCTGTATAGATTGTGCTAGTGTAGTTGAGACATCTCTTCATGCAATGCATGATTGTGGTATAGCTAAACTTTTGCGGGTGTCCATTGTGAAAGCTAGCCATTGGGAAGTCTTTTTCAATGCCAATTTATAAAATTGGATAAATTATAATCTTCAGCGGCACCTAGGTTATAAAGTTCCATAGGAATGGCCAGCAATGTGGAAAACGATATGCCATTCAATCTGGTGTTGGAGGAACCTATTAGAGTAAATATAGCTTATGTTATGTTATTTGAATAGGTCAAATTGTTATGGTCGTGGATCATGGGGTTCAGTTTAGGTTGTCCTAGTTTATAGGATTTGTTTATTTAGATTTTCTAAACACTTTCTATCTGTTTTATTAGGCACTTTATAGTGCATTCAGTTTCTTTTACAGTTTTCTTTGTAACGCTATTTATAAGTCATGTTTTCTATCAATAAAACAATCCAGTTGCTAGAATTCTACAATTGTTAACATCTGGTATCAGAGCTTGAGAGATTGAATATTGAAGAACACCAATCTGTGAGAGAAACACAAGAGAGCCATAAAAAGAGCATGGAATTTGAGGAGAAAAGTGGTGGTTTCTCAACACCGTCAATTCCCAAATTCAATGGGGATTTTGACCACTGGAGTATGGTAATGGAAAACCTCCTACGATCAAGAGAATATTGGAGTGTGGTGAAGACGAGCTATACTCTGCCCAGAGAAGGTGTTGTTCAGACAGATGTCCAGAAGAAGATTCTTGACGAGATGAAACTCAAAGATCTAACAGAAAATAATTATTTGTTTCAGTCTTTGGACAAATCAATTCTGAAAACCATAACAAAGAAGGAGACGTCCAAGTAGTTATGGGATTCGATGAAGATGAAATGTCAAGGGAATGCTCGAGTCCAACGTGCTCAGCTCAACCGACTTCAAAGGGAGTTCGAGGTCTTGGCCATGAAACCAGGCAAATTAATCAATGATAATGACATGCGGAATTGCAGAGAAGACATGGATGATGTCAAAATTGTCGAGAAAATTCTGCGGACATTGGCAGAGAAGTGGAACTATATAGTGTATTCCATCGAGGAAGCTAAGGATATTGATGAACTTTCAGTAGATGCCCTACAAAGTTCTCTCTTAGTCCATGAACAAAAGTTCAAGAAAGAACCTGACGAAGTTGTTAAAGCAAAGAGTCAGGATGTGTGGTTCTTAGATAGTTGGTGTAGCAACCACATGTGTGGAGATGCCTCTCTCTTTTGCACCATGGAGGAAGGCTTCAAACGAGATGTGAGTTTGGGAAATCTCATGAAGATGAAGGTGGTTGGCAAGGGCAGCGTGAGGCTCAATTTTGAAGGAGCAAGCCATGTTGTTCGAGATGTATTCTATGTCCCTGAACTGAGGAACAACTTACTCAGCATTGGGCAGCTTCAAGAAAAGGGCTTGGAATTTGTGATCAAAGACAATGAGTGTCGTGTCTACCGTCCCTCGAAAGGCCCCTCATTCTTCAAAGTAAAATGACGACTAATAGGATGTACATCCTAATCTCAAACAACGAGGCACCAAAGGAACAATGCTTCCAAACTGATGCTCAAGAAGTTGCACATCTGTGGCACTGCAGGTTTGGACACTTTCAAGTATTACAGAGCAATAACATTGTAAGGGGCTTACCTTGTCTTGGAGAGATCACAACAGTATGTACTGAGTGTCTGAAAGGCAAGCAACACAGAGAGTACATTCCAAAGAAAGCCTTGTGGAGAGTTGTAGAGCGTCTAGAACTTATACATGCTGACATTTATGGTCCCATTTCTTCTATGTCACATGGCCAAAAGAGGTATTTCATATGTTTCATTGATGATTACAGTAGGAAGGCTTTGGTATACTTTATTGCTTACAAGAGTGATGCATTTACTGTTTTCAAGCAATTTAAAAGTAGTGTTGAGAAGGAATCTGGATTATATGTGAAATGTTTGAGAACATACCGTGGAAGGGAGTTTACTTCAACTGAGTTCAATGATTATTGCATAGATAATGGTATCAAAAGGCAACTTACGAAGCATGCTTGTGCAAAAGGAGGTACCTAAGAGCTTCTAGCCAGAGGCAGTAAACTGGGCATTCTACAATCTCAATAGGGTGTCCTACTTCAGCACTAAAAGATATAACACTAGAAGAGGCCTGGTCTGGCATTAATCCCTCAGTTGAACACTTCAGGGTATTTGGGTGCATTGCACATGTTCATTTGCCAGATGCAAGAAGAACTAATCTTGATAATAAGAGCACAAGACGTGTCTTATTAGAAGTGAGTGGTGAGTCTAAAGGATATCGTCTGTATGATCCTATTGAGAAGAAAATTACTGTGAGTCGGGATGTGGTGTTTGAAGAGGACAAACAATGGGAATGGAATCAAACTCATGTTGAATTAGTCAAGCTACAACTTGAATGGGAAGACAAGCAGCCAAAGAATGAGGAAATTGAGCAACAAAATAATGATATGCCAATTACTGAAACAGAACAAGAGAATAGTGGTGTGTCCCAGACAAGATATGAAACTGAAATAGAACAAGAGAGTGATGAAAATGCAGAAGCCGACAATAAAGAAAGCGTGGGAAGAGTTCAACGCAACAGAAAAGCTCCAACGTGGATGAATGATTATGTTTTCAGTCACTGTGTTGATAGTGGAGGTAATCCAGTTAGTTTTGCTTTGATGTCCAGCACACACCCTTTGACATTTGAGAAGACTGAAAATTGATAGTTGGAAGAAAGCTATGGATGAGGAGATAAAACCCATTGAAAGAAATAGCACATGGTCATTAGTTGATCGGCCAAGAGGAGCTACTAGTATAGGGATCAAGTGGGTATACAAGACAAAACTGAATCAACATGGTGAGGTTGATAAGTATAAGGCCCGTTTTATAGCAAAGGGGTATGCACAACAACATGGCATAGATTATGAGGAGGTGTATGCACCAGTGGCACGAATGGATACTGTTCGAATGATTCTAGCTCTTGCAGCTCAAAGAAATTGGATTGTATATCAGCTAGATGTAAAGTCGTCATTTCTACAAGGAGAGCTCACATAGAAAGTTTATGTTGATCAATCAAAGGGATATGAATTGCAACATGAGGAGACTAAGGTGTACAAGCTCAAGAAAGCCCTCTATGAACTTAAACAAGCACCTAGAGCATGGTTTAGCATAATAGAAGCATATTTCAAGGCTACGGGCTTCGATAAAGAGGCAAGTGAACAAACCCTATTCACCAAAGTCAATCAACAAGGTAAGTATTTGATTGTAAGTCTTTATGTTAAGGACTTAATCTATACTGGAAATGAGGAGATCATGTTGCAAGACTTCAAGCAATCCATGATGAAGGAGTTCGAGATGTCTGATTTAGGAAGATTGAAATATTTCCTTGGAATAGAAATCGTGCAGCTTGATAGTGGGATTTTCATCAGTCCGATGAAGTATGCAAAAGAGATCTTAAAGAAGTTTGGCATGGAAGCCAGTAATCCAGTTTTAAATCCATTGACTCCAGGAG